TAATGGAGCATTCTGGAAACCACAGGTGACCGGCCCCAGCTGAAACCAAACTAACCCCAGCTGCTGCTTGGATGCAGCCGCTCCATGGCGGTGGAGAAGGAGTCGTTCAAGTGCAGGTGGGTGGCCGAGCACTGAGCAAGCCGAGCACTGTGGCTGCGGAAGGAGGCCCCGAAATCCTAAAGCTTACACCCAGACGCTCCAAACAGCCCTTGGTCCCTCAAAACCATAAAGTTTTGAGACCCCAAACCCCTCCATAGGATTCGGGTCCGACCCCTCCATAGGTTCGGGTCCAGGAGCGTTTGGGTATAACGCTTTTCACACCGAGCTCTTCCGGTCCAATATCCGCCAAACATCAGTGCACCCCGAGCCCAACATCAGTGTCACACGTGGTCGGGTTCATCCTTCGGGTTTCTGTGGCCAGGCGTTGATCCAGTGCCAAAGACCCATCAAACACCTGCTGCTTCGCAGGAACTCTTAGCCGTTCGTTGGAACTCTTAGGCGTTCGGCAAAACTTGATGCCGAAGGGACAGGTGTTAGGACTACCCTTTCTACCTAATAACAGACAACAACACACCCTGGTGGAGTTGAGAACAGGCGACCTATCGACCACCAGGGCCTCAGAGTTGTAACAAAACACCAGGCGTCAGGACAGCGTTTCATCGCGTTTCACCCGCTGAAGCTCATCCAAAAAAACCATTGCTGATCTAGACCACTTGCAATCTGACCCACTGCTTAGTCTCAGTGAAAAGGGGCTCTGACTCCGCTGATCGAGGGGTTGGACAGGTCTCTCCTGGAGGATGGCGTCCAAGTGCTGTGACTCGGTGCTATGACTCGAGTTGCACGTCCTGTTGTGCATCGTCTTTGCCATGCGCGTTTTGCAGCCAAGCTAAAAAGGACTAGGACGACTAGGACTTGTATGGACTCGTGCATTGTTTTCTTCATGCAGCTGCTAGGGAGTGCATATAGTTATGTTTGTCTTTGTTTACTGTGACTAATTCTGAAACCCGAGGAAAGGACTGTGACTATTGTGGAGAATGTTACAGACCCCGAAGCCGATGCGAGAGAATGGATCTGAGAAAGACATGCATGCCTGAACCTTCAGTTTAGCACCTTTTTGGAGCCAATTCAGGGTTTGAAGCACTTTTGTTGGACTTCTGTGGCTATGTTTTTTTCATTAAGTGCATTTTGTTGTTGTTTTGAGGATTCTGAGCATTTTTTTGAGATGCTGAAGACTGGATCCTACCTTGTGATTGTTTAGTGCCGCCCGTATCACCTTCTTATTCTGCTGGCCAACAACGAAAATGCTCTGACTCTGGGTGGTAAGCCAATCGAAAGGAGGAGGTGTTCTCAAATGTTTAGTTTGTTTTGGAACCGAGGTGCAAACCCGCAAAATGGTCACAAATCGCCGGAAAATGAGTTCAAATTAAACAAGTGTTGAATGAACCCATCCAGTTGATTTGGCATTTTAACAACATGTTTGCATATATTTGTAGTTTCCCATACACTGGGTGTGTGGTGCAGCAGTGTGGATGAACGACCAAAAAATAGTTGGATATTGGGTTCCATGCGCGTTTGTTGAATGGTGGTAGCGTTTGTTGCTTGAATGAGCCCTTTTTGACATGAGTTGTCATGAGTCTATTTTGTAGCAAAGGAAGTTTCAGGTATAAAGGAAGTTTCAGGTATAAAGGCAGGATCGTTCAGCAATTGTGTTGAAAACTTCTAACTTGCCCTGCTCCCAAGTCGTGCTACTGAGACTGTACATGACTGTATGATCAACCTGTGGCGGAGAGATGGAGCAACCATTAATCCAAACCAGTGGTAACCAGCGACAAGCAATTTCGTAAAGAGCGGTCATGCAAAACTGGAAGAAATGCTAGCCACTATAGCCGCTCTCAAAAGCGATATGTCAATTACATCATCAGCTGTGTTAAAAACATCCTGGGGACTCCAAAAGCCAGAAGCTCCCTTTTAAAGCAATATCCTGGTTGAATCATGCTCTCTTCACCAGACACTTTTTTTTGATTTCAGTGGAGGAGTTTCTTCTGAAACATGCATGTACTGTACTGAAATGCATGTATATATACCTGAAGTCATGCAGCTTGTTTTTGTTCACTCATGCATTTTGGGGTGCAGGAATTCTTGCACCAAGTCAGCACGACGGCCACCGTGCGACGGCCACCACGCGACTGCCACGGCCTGCACGCGCTCAGGAAGGTGCTGGACCTTGATCTCCGTGCCCAGCTTCGACAGCGGCTTCTTCAGGCCGCGCAGGCGCCAGAGCTTTGGGGACTGGTAGATATTATGGAAATTGCTATATAAATGTAGAGGTGGGTTCGGCCAGCCGCAACTATAAATCGACGGTTCAAGAAGACCTCAGGTGACCAGCTCAAACCGGTCATGGCATCGGCGAGAAACACGCCGGTTTCGTGTTCACTTCGGTCGCTGAAAAGAAGTGTGACTCTCCGATTCACATGTTTATTTCCTCTTCGGAAAACAACCATCAACCACCCATGGGAGTCGAGAATTTCTTTTGGTCTTCCATGGGGCCAAATTGTTGCACTGATGAAGCTCTTAGAGTGTGCCATGCCACCTTCGAAGTGCTTCCCGAGGAGACGGTGTGCCATGTCTTCGCCGAGCCGAAGACGGTGCCATGTACCCTCCCTACAACAATCATTGGAAGTGGACAACCCCCTCTTGGTAGAGGAAAGTAGTCTTCCAAGGGGCCACTGTCCACTTCCATGTTAGTTCCAGGGAGTGTACATGATTTTCTTCCGTAAAACCTTCAAACAGTCTGCCATTCCGAAGCCTTCCAATGCTCTGGGTCTGATGTCATCTGATGCCGTTTGATGCAAGCCTTCTGAAGATTAGCTCCCCATCCAACTACCGTGTGCGTCCCTCCCAACGCCTGTGCAGGAATTCCCTGAGTTCGTTCCAGGCTCTTTGCGATGCGGGGGAGAGCTGGGTCTCAAGAAGCATCCAGGGATTGGGGAGAATGCCGGACATCTGCTTTGATGGCATTTGGAGGGAATTCAGGTGGGAAAGAACAGGGAAATCATTTGTGTTTGCCCCCAAAGTCACCTAGGCAGCCGTTTTGCCACCTGTCAGGACATGTCAGACATGTACGGCTTCCTCGAACCAGCTCAACCAGCCTTTAAATGGTCTTTGAAGGCTAAGGTATACAGCCTTTTTTTGTTGCACCTCCGATCTTTCACCAAGCTTGGTACGTGCACTTGCAGGATGGCAGGAATTAGACCTGCGTTCTCGCTGGTGCCCCTGAATGGACTTCTATGGTGGCCCAGTCAGGCCATAGTCACGATCCACTTTCAGCTGGATATGGTCTCCTTAGGGCTCCAACCATATCCTCAAAAGGTGATTAGATCCCTGGCACCCACCCCAACCAGCTTCGATAACGGAGGGGCCAGGAGCGTCATTTGTTTTTAAAAGGTGTCGCCGAATTGGACAGTTGCACTGAAGTGATAGTGATAGTGAAAAAGAGGTTTGACCAACTCTGAAGTGCTCCTTCTTGCAAGCTCCCAGATGGAAATCGAGTTACAACAGATCCGATCGCATTCACCAGATGTTGGGTTCCTTGTGAGATGTGATTTGACCCAGGCATAATGTCCTATTTGCAAACATTTGTGTAAGTCACTTTACCAGTTGTGATGCCGCTCGCTGGTGAGTGTGAATAACACCAATTTGCTTCAGGGGAAACTGCGATGGCAAAATTGCTATTTTCCCGCCGTTTAGTAGTAGTCTAATGTGCTAACCTGCCCTTTGTTACTGATTAGTAGCTTCTTGTTCCTAGTAGTAAGGCCAGGAGTCCCTAGTAGCGTCCTTGCTCCTAGTAGCGATGCCCTTTGTTACTAGTAGCTTTGTATAATACGTCTATGTCCACACAAAGGATCTACATTTGTTTGAACAAAAAGTGCCTCTCTTCTCAAAAACGCGTCAGGCGCACAGAAGCTGGTTCTCGGCAGCTTTGGGGCCTTAGGCCAGTCAGCTGAAGCTGATCTCCTTGGTCCTTTCTGCCAATGAAATTGTTATATACCTAGTCGTGGAATATTGTTGAACAAAAAACTCTTGAACTCTGACTTAGTCATTTACAAGTCATGCAGCCTCCAAACCTGCTTCAGCCCCCAAAAAATCCAGTGCCGCGACTCATGCTGCTTCAGGGAATCCTGCCGCCTTCCACCACCCAGTGGTGCGGGAGTGCCGGTGGCCTGGTAGAAGATGGGCGAGATTCACTGCCGTCACCTTCGTTGGGACCGCTCTTTTCCATCTTTTTAATGACTTAAGTCACAAGTCCGAGATGGATTGCGGATTTGGAGTCTTTGGGGAGGGACACAAAAGCATTTGGACAAGGGTTCTGACCATCGTTGGGACGTCTTTTGAAGGGCATACCGTGGGATGATGAGTAGACACAACATGTTTGGAAATAAATGAAGTTCCAAGAGATTGAGCCAGTTTGGGAATCATACAATGATCTCACTATTGAGAGGTGGCACGTGAGCAGGAACATGAACAATGGATGAAGCTATGAAGCGGACCCGCAGGAACCACAATGCCCATGAGTCATCTCGTTTCGGTGTTTTCATGGCTCGTCTTGCGGGGCTTCATGACATGCACGAAGATGACATCACCTTCACCTGGTTGGAAGGATGCAGATTGATCAACAGCTTGGGGAAAAAAACGATGGTTTCGACAGAAGAAATGCCACTGAAGAATGCGAGGGAAGGCCTTGGCAGCATTTGCATCATGACGGAGAATCAAGTTGGCCCACATACTGTGGTTCTACGATAGGCTTATGTGGTTCTGGCCGTCCAGAGAGAGGTTTGTGGCCGAGTCCAGAGAGAGGTTTGTGGCCGAGGTTTGTGGTCATGGGCCCGTTGCACATGGGAGTTTTGTTCGGTTGCGCCATGCTGCGCCCACTTGGGGTAGTGTGAACTGAAAGCCAACAAACAAAACATATACTGTACATGTATATATATATATATATGTGTGGAAGAGATGCTCGTATCTTATCTCATATATGGCTGAGCCCATTTAGCTGTTGGCTTGCCAGGTGCGGTTGGAACCTGCTTCCGTTGTTCCTGAGGAATAAAGAAAGACCCCAGACAGCAGTTCATAGGCTCCCACATCCTCCAACCCATGTCATTTGGATCCGAGGCTCCACTGCATGGCCTCTGCGACACGCCTCTTCCGCGCACACCTGGCTGCTACGCACGCGGCGCGTGCCGCGCAGGCGGCGCACGCTCCCCGGCGGCTGGAGCTGCTGTGGGATCGGCTTTGTATCCGACTGAAAGGCGCAGGGGAGATGATTTCTACTGCATTGTTGTGTCCGCTCTGAATGATAGGGTATGCTCCAACCAAAGAAGTCATTGTGTTTTTGGGGAACCCAATTCAAGAGCCAAAGTGAACTTGGATTGGGACATTCCAAAGTGCTGGGAAGCAGAAGCATTACACTGACTTAGGACTAGTGACTAGGGTTCCATGTGCAAGACACTTCTCTTGTTCTATGTACATGGTTTAGGACTAGGGAATCGCTTCTTTAAACTTGGTTTTCTTGTTGAATGAAACACGGATCCTCACTATTCCTCACCGGCCTTTCTTGGAGGCTCCAAGATGTGTGGCGAGACAGTCCACCGGGACGTGGCCAAGTTCAAGCTGAAGGAAGATGAGATCTTCGGTGGTTGGATGAACCTGGACTGCCCAGCTGTTGGGATGGGCCGAGCTTGGGGTGTTCAAGCGGCTTTGCCGACGGCGTGCACATGCTGAGCAGCATGTGCCGTATACGACCCGTGATTCAGCAAATTTGGCTGAGGCGTAGAGCTCGTTCTGCTTGTCCAGTTAATACATATACATACATTGAATACATATAATAGTATCTATTTAATACAGTATACATTAATACATACATTCATGTATTTATTTAACAGAAGGGCGGGTCATGGGGGGTGGGTTTTTGGGTTTTTGCTTTTAGGAATTTTTAGAAGTTTGAAGGAAACTCTGCTCCAAATAACAGAAGGAAACTACACTTCTGCTCTGTCTACTTCTCTGCTCTGTCTGGTACAAACGTCTGCTTTCTACTTACTCTGGCTGCGTCAAGAC